TTTCTCCGTCAGACCTTCTCTCCATACTTCCTTCATCTTGCCACCTTTCAAGTCTCTCTTCAGGTAACAGGGAAGTATAGGAATCTCCCCAGGTTTCTGTAAAGACAGACTACATTTCATTTCCTTGAAAGTTTAAGCACCAGCATAGGGCTGTGCTTCCTCTGTCCACATCCCAAATCTCACCAAAGCTCAGGGAGAAAGTGGGTCAGAGAATCTGACAATAACAGGAATCATGGGAGTCACATCCTGGAGAAACAGCCTAGGTGAGGCATGGCCCTGTCTCTAGGCTTCCATTCTGACAACATCCATTAAGGCTTCAGTATCTTCCCCTCAGAGAAGAGGAAACCAAAGCCCAGGGAAATAAGATCACTAGCTCCAAAATGCACCAACATAAAGTAACATGAATTTTATGGCACTGCCTCTTAATACAGTCTAAATTTAAAAGTAAAGTTTTCCTAATCACTCACAGCTACATTCCTCCTACCATGCATGCCTACCTCAATTTAAGAAAATACAAACCTCACACTCTCTTCAGCAGAAAGAATTTAAACTACCAAAGAGAAAGCACCCTACCATAATGAAAAACACCCCTAAAATAGACTAAATTCTGGGGATGGAAGACCAGATTCATGCATATGCATCAAAGGAAGAACTTAGCTTTAGGATACAAGCTGTATAGTTAAAACGAAGGACCAGTGCTTGGGTGTTCAAGGTCCCTGGGCTGAGTAGGACTTGCCACATCCAACAGATGGCAGTAGGCACTTACTTGTTTTTTGTTTTTTGGTTTTTTTTAAATAAGCACATAGAAGACAGATATTCAGAAGAAGAAAAAAACAATAAGATGAGATATCTTATCTTTTAGTAAGAGATCCTTATTAAAATCAAAGCCATCTATCCCCTTTGAAGTAAGAGGCGAGGAAAGAAACAACCTAAACTAGCACTTCTAGAGAAAATCAACTAATAACATGATCATGATTATAGATTATAACTGACCATTGCTTTGCATTACATCTGTTTTCTTCTTCCATCTTCACATGGGTTCCCAAGATCAAATAATAAAATTTAAAAGGAATATGTTATTTATTTTTTTGTTCATGGCATACATGTATGCAATATATGTTAATAATATCTACTTCCAAGTCCCCTCCTCAACTCTAGTATACTCAACATGTTCCCATTCCTCATTCATGTCCTCTCATCTTTTAGTAAACTACTAAACCCAATTTCTGCTGTCTGGTGAAATGCTGTCTGGTCTTGTGAAGGTGTTATGCAAGTAACCATACCTGTAGTGAGTTTGTGGTACAATGGTGATGTCATTTCATGTCTGGAAGATAGCATTTTGCAATGTTATTTGGCCTGCACTTGCATAATGTTCTCAGAGACTTGGGGTTGGGGAGGGATGGATACAGATGTTTCATTTATGTCTAGGCACACAATAGTCATTTATTCTTAACACCAGTTATGAGCCTCTGCATTAACTGCTAGCCACTGCAGAGAGAAGCTTCTCTGGCCAAGGTTGAGGGCAACACTACTCTAAGTGTGTGGAATCATAAATATTTAGAAGGCAGTTTGAGAACATGTCTATTTAGCAAGACAACAGGAGTAAGTCTCCCCACCCCCTGGCCTATGACTTCTGACCCATGGACTTTGACCAGGTTTACAGACCAGGCATTAATTCCCTCAGGCAAAGCAGGTCTTAGATTCAATCCAAAGATGGTTGTAATCTCCATAACGTGCATGCCACTATTGCAGCAATGAATACATTTTGCCTGGCAGTTTGGTAGCATAGCAAATAGGGTTTGCTGCCTAATAATACTGTTGATAGCCTTTCCATCATGTACAACACCTATCAGAGCCATGAAAGCTAGACAGCAAAAAGGAAATTTAAAGGTCAGTTCCAGATTGACTTGTCTATGTTCCAAAACCAGTAAGTGGAACCTTCAGCAATGTAGTCTTAGGGTCTAGTAACAGTGGGTAAATAAGAGCAATGACAGTAGCCTGTGTTGTTTGGGGAGCCTTTGGAACCTACCTGACCAATAACTGATAGGAAGGAATCTAATACCTGACACAGAGATTTTCATTTAATAATCCATGTTTTGCAAGAAATTACTGTCCACCTGTGAAGGGAAGGGTATCTGTGTTCAAACTCTTTTTTAAAATTATACTTTTATCATAGAATGATATTAAAAGGTTTCATTCCTTTTCTATAACATTATATAATGTGAGGAACATTGGAACTAGTTTCTACCTTAAAAATTTGATAATAATTCATAAAAAAATTATTCAGATCTAGGGTTTCTTTGTTGGATAACTTATAGGAGTTTCAATCTCATTACTTTTTTGCCCTGGCCAGTGGGGTGTCAACGGGGGCGACCCACCTGCGGGACAGAATTAAAGGGACGGGGAGACACGAAAGGAAGACAGCAAGACAGGGTTCTGATCAAGCTGCAAATTTTATTCTCCTCAGCAAGGCTTATATAGCATGGGAGGGGGAGGGGCAGGAAGGAGGGAAGGGGTGCACAACGTGCCATATGTGCAGGTGAAGGGAGACATGCAAGTCATGAGGCTGCAAGGTGTTGTGCCAGGTGGTAAGGTCATGGCCCATTGTTCTGTTGCTATGCTACCTGACCTACCTGACCTGTTCTTTATCTTCGGGGGCATCTGGTTTAGGGCCTGTTGCTTGTTCTCTGGCCTAGTTAGTACTTTTCCATGGTTCATGTTTGGTCCCTGACACTTTTTATAGTCATAAAAATTATATTTGCATTGCCAAATCTATATAGAAATACACTGCAAATAAATAAAAGTCAGCTAAAACTTGGTGAATTACAGATACTTGCCTTCTAACAGTTTATTTGTTTAGCCTGCTAAATTCACACACTTACATGCTAGAAAATGTATTTAATATCCCTGAAAAATAAAAAGTATTTTTCAATGTCCACAACATAAATTGCATTTTAATTATCTTTATTAACACGCTGATAACCTCTTAAAATTGCCAGTGCACTACTCTTAGCTACGTTAGCTATCATAGTATGAATTTGTAATGACTTAAAGAGGTAAAAAATATAAATTACAATTGAAAAAGGGACATATTTAATTTTGATAGAGTGAAGAGAAGTGAGATCACTTTTAAGCAAAGTTGACATCATGGTTAGATACGTTAAATTTTTTTGAAAATAATAGTTACCATATAATTACCCTGTAGTCCACACATCATAAGTGTAAAATTAATCCTTGAAGATCAATCACACGTTTCCTCCTCATCATCCTCTTTCCCTCTTCTTCATCTCTATGCAGATATATTATGCTGAATAATGCATTTCATTATGACATTTTGTAGATGGATATTATGTAGTTGGGTCATGTTTACCCACTCTGTTGCTCTTACTTGTCCCTCATACTCACTTCCTGTTCATCCTGTTTTTGTTTTCAAGAATTTATACTTTAATTTTGACATCTTCCTTCTTTTTCCACCCCCTTCCTCAACTTCTGCTCTGCAAATGAGAGAAAACATGGCCTGTTTGCCTTTTGGTCTGGCATTGTTCATTTAAGTTTTAGTATTCATCCTTCTGTAAATGATATGTTGTTCTAGTTTATGGTTGAAAAAAGTTCCACTGTGTGTGTGCATATATATCCCATCTTTTTAGCTAAAAATTTCTTCTTTTTGACATTTTAGATTTCTTTTATTTTTTGAGATTATACTATAATTACTTCATTTCTTGCTTCCCTTTCCTCTATCCAAACCCTCACATATATTCCCCTTTTTTTTCTTTCACATTCATGGCCTCTTTTTCATTAATTGTTGTTACATGCATACATGTGTATACAAACATAATCCATATGACCTTATCAGTTTGTTTGTTTTTCAGGGCTGACTATTTAGTACTGGATAATCAATTGCTGTACTTTTCTTAGGGAAGACTATTTCTTCTGCTCCCAGCATTCTTTAGTTGCTATGAATTCTTTGTGCAGGGTTGAGACCTCCTTGGCTTTTCCCACTCCACATTAGCATGTTACTGTTATTGTCCTTGTTTAGCTCTTGTTTGAGCCGTCATATTGGTGAGGCTTTCTGGATGTTGCTTCTGAGGTTCCTAGGAGGTCCATCTCACAGCAAACTCTCTGTTCCTTTGGTTCATATAATAAGGGCCCTTATATTTTGGGCCCTTCTTCTGCAATGATTCCTAAGACTTGGGTGAAGGAGTTTTATTAAAGATGTATCCTTTGGCACTGGGCTCTACAACTCTGCCTTCTTATTGGTTGTTTTTTTTTTTTTTCTGTAATAATCTCCATCTGTTGCAAAGAAAAGTTTCCTGTTTTATTTATTTCAATACATTCACCTGTTGATAGAAACCCAGGCTCTTTCCATAACTGGACTGTTGTAAATACACCACAACATGCATGGGTGATGAAGTCACACTCTTATATGAAAAATACATTCCTTAGTATATACTCAGAAGTAGGACAGCTAGATAATTTATTTCTGTATAAGGACTACAGATAGGCAGAGTTTTTAAAGCAGAAAAGTTGTATTCTCCCACTGAGTTTATTTCTACTAATCAGAATTTATAAACTAGGGTGAATATGTTTGTCCTTGAATTTCAACCAAACTTAGTTGTATCATTTTGACTTTCATATCATCATTATGTCTGAGAAATCCATTTATGTGATTGCAGGCATCATTGATTTTCTTCTTTGCAACTGTTTTTGTTTTCCTGGAAATGGACCTTAGAGCTTTTCACATCCTAGGTAAGTACTCTATCACTGAGTCATACCCTCAGCCAGTTTACTTTTTAGATTTATTATATTATATTATATTATATTATCATTTAGTGTATAGCTATTTGTCTATGTGAGTGTATGTCATGTGTGTGCAAGTACCCACACAAGCCAAGAGGTTGAATGATCCTTTGCAACTGTTATAAACTATTTGTCTAAGGGAGTCTCTTGCTGTGAAGAGACACCAGGACCATGGCAACTCTTACAAAGGAACCATGCAGGGCTGTGATGGTGCACACCTTTAATCCCAGAAGTAGGGAGGCAGAGTTCAAGGCCAGCCTGGTCTAGAGAATGCGATCCAGGACAGGCACCAAAACTACACAGAGAAACCCTATCTCGAAAAAACAAAAAACAAAACAAAAACAAAACAAACAAACAAACAAACAAACAAAAAACCCAAAGGAAACCATTTAACTGGGGCTGGATTACAGTTCAGAGGTTTAGTCCAATGTCTTCATAGTGGGAAGCGTGGCGCATGCAGGCAGACATGGTGCTGGAGAGGTAGCTGAGAGATCTACATCTGGATCTGAAGGAACAAAAAAAAAAAAAAAACGGAGTGAGCCACTGGACCTGGGCTGAGCTTCTGAAACCTCAAAGCCCACTCACAGTGTGCTTCCTCCAATAAGGCCACACCCATTCCAAAAAGGCCACACTTCCTAATAGCGCCACTCCCTATGAGCCTATATATAAGAACCATTTTCATTCAAAGCACCACACCAGTTGAGGCAAGTTCTAGAAAACATTCTTGTCATCTTTAAGAACAGCAAATATCCTCAACTACTGAGCCATCTCTGCAGCCCCTCTGATTATATTTTATTTGTTCTAAATTATTGTATTATTTGGATATATTACAATGCATTTATTCTTACTATTGCTCATGATCACTGGGTTGTTTCTGGATTTTGGCAACTGTGAACACAGTTACTATAAACATGTCTGTGTTTTCTCTATTTCTTCATCCATTTGTCTTTAATAATTTATTTTTACAAAAATATAGTCCTTTGCCTTGTTTATTTGGCTAGAAGAAGACTAGTGAGTTTCAGAATAGAGGTGTATGTTCTTTTATTTATACTGCAATATTGTTTTGACGTGGTCAAAATTTCTAAATAAATGTTACCATATTCCTTCAAAAATTATACATTTAAGTTAACTTACAGAAACACTGAGTTTCTGTAAGGCTTATTTATCCATTCTTATTTTGCCTAACACACTGTATTCCTTCCTCTCTCCTGTCCCCAGTCCTAAACCTACCTAAACTGTTAACCCCAGAAAGTAGAGAAGAATCACTTCTACTTTCATATGTGTCCCACTACTCCCTCTCATGGGCCTTTCTATCTTCCCAAGCTCTGCAGATCTCCAAATTAAACACACACTTCTAAAAGTTCAAGGCTACAATCTCCATATAAAAAGGGACATGTAACATTCGTCTCTCTGGGCCAGGGCTTCATCACTTACTATAGTTTCTACTTCCATCCAGTTTCCTACAAATTTCATTGCTGTAGGATATCATTCTATATGCTGTGAATGTGTGTTTCTCTGATTGGTTGATAGATAAAATGGTGATTGGTCAGTAGCTTGACAAAATGTTATATAAACTAGACATGCATTACCCATAGAAAGGTGACCACTGAACTTTGCAAGGTGAGATGGTCTTTCAGGTTCCTGCTTCACAGAAGAAACTGTCAGATATTCTACAGGACATAGAGAGAAGAAACTGAGAAACTCAAAGCCTATAGGCTGAAGAAGGATGCCCCAACATTACAGAGGAACTTGGGTGATTGTCCAGGCAGCCAGCTATCTCTGTCATTCTAGACATTTGGAAGTGGCTTACAATGCATTTCCTGTTTACTTAGGTAATATTATATTCTTCTGGGGTCTTTGATGTAGTTGAAGACTAGATAGTTATAATTTTCCTTGGTTGTGATAAATTATATATGAAACTTTAGACTCACAAATATAGAATAGATAGAATATTTTCTTTAATTTTGACAAATACAAATAGACTAGATGTTGTAACTGTAATTCTTGCTTGATAACTGTTCTAGTATATGTACTTTTACTATGTTAAAGTTAAAACCTTCCTTTTTTATTAGATAGAAAAGGGGAAGTGCTGTGGAATGTTGTTCTGTATGCTGTGAATATGTGTTGCTCTGATTGGTTGATAAATAAAATGCTGATTGGCCAGTAGCCAGGCAAGAAGTGTAGACAGGGTAAGCAGATGAGGAGAATTCTGGGAAGAGGAAGGGCTAAGTCAGGAGTCACCAGCCAGACACAGAGGAAGCAAGATGACAAGGCAGAACTGAGGAAAAGTACCAAGCCACATGGCTAAACATAGATAAGAATTATGGGTTAGTTTAAGTGTAAGAGCTAGTCAATAATAAGCCTGAGCTAATGGCCAAGGAGTTATACTTAATATAAGTTTCTGAGTGATTATTTTATAAGCAGGCCATGGGGCTGTGGGGGCTTAATGGAACCTGAGAAACATCTGACTACATTTCATAATTTCAGCTTTCTTTGCAACTGAACAAAATTCTGTTATATATATATATATATATATATATATATATATATATATATATATATATATACTTTTACTTATCCATTCTTCAGTTTATGAACTTCTAGGTTGATTCCATTTCCTGGCTACTGTGTATAGTATAGCAATTAACACAGATGTTCAAGTGTACCTCTAAGTGGATCATATGGAGTTTTTATTTTTAGCCCTTTGAGACACCTCCACACTGACTTCCATAGTACATGCATCAATTTATATCCACACCAAGAGAGGATAAACACTTCTCTTTCTCCATATCCTCTCCAGTATTTGACTTCATTTGTTTTCTTCATAGTAGCCATCTGACATAAGCGAGATGTAATCTCAAAGTAGTTTTAAAAACACTTCTTTGGGAAACCACCAAATGACAGATGATCTGGCCAGTGCAGCACTGGAAGAGCCCAGAGGACAGGGGCCATGTTTAGAAGGCTGAGTTTCTTAAGGAAAATGTGTACCATTGGTGCTGCACAACTTATGGAGGTAGAGCTGAAGACAAGGAGTAGATCCTGGTCACCAAGTTGGGTGGCCTGGTCAAGGACATCAAGATTAAGTCCCCGGAGATCTATCTGCCTGTTCTCCTTGCCCATTAAAGAATCTGAGATTATTGACTTTTTCATGGGAGCATCCCTATAATACAAGGCTGTAAAAATAATGCCAGTGCAGAAGCAGACTCTGGCTGGCCAGTGGATCAGGTTCAAGGCAAATTTTGTCAGTATTGACTCCTACAGTGGTCATGATCGTCTTGATGTTACATATCCAAGGAGATAGCCACTGCCATTCCTGGGGGCCATCATCTTGACCAAACTTTCCATCTTCCCTGTGTAGAAAGACAACTTGGGGGAACAAGATTGGAAAGCCCTACACTGCCACATGCTAGGTGATAGACCACTGTGGCTCTGTGTTGGTGTGTCTCATCTCTGCCTGCAGATACACTGGTATCTTCTCTGCTCCTTTCTCAACGAAGCTGCTGTTCATGGCCAGTTTTGATGACTGTTACATATCAGCCAGGGGATGCACACTACTACCCTGGTCAACTTTGACAGACCACCTTTGATGGTATCTCCAAGACCTACAGCTACTTGACCCCTGGCATCTGGAAAGAGACTGTGTTCACCAAATCTCCTTATCAGGAATTCACTGACCATCTTGTGAAAACCCATACAAGAGTCTTCATTCAGAGGATCCAGGCTGCAGCTGTGGCTACCACATAAGAGTTTTCATACAAGAAAAATACAGTGAATTAATTCTGTTTAAAAACAAACACACTCAGAAGCACCTGCTTGTTCCTTACCATTTGTTTGAAATATATTTAAAATCTAATCTATCACTATACATCTTGTGATTAGGGAATTGACACTATTAATATTTAAAGATATCATTGAAAGTTGTACATTGATTCCTGCCATTTTGTTGATTTTGTAGTGCTGACTTTTTCCCCTCTCAGTTTAAAGATTCTTTCTATCATCTCCTGTAGAGCAGTCTTAGTGATCAGAAATCCCATTAGCCTATTATTATCATGGGAAGTTTTTATTTTTATTTCAGTTATAACAGATAGCTTTGGTGGATATCATATTCTGGGTTGGCAGCTGTCTTCTGTCAGAACTTGAAATACATCATTCAAAGCCTTTCTGGATCTTAAAGTTTCAGTTGAAAAAATATCTGTTATGCTAGTGGGCCTGCATATATATATATATATATATATATATATATATATATATATATATATATATATATATATATATATATATGGATTAAGCATTAGATCAACTTAGAAGACAAAAATATTCAAGTGGGTAAAATAGCTAGGATGGAAAAGCTAGAATACTATTAGGGTCTACAGATTAAGAGATAGTTAAAGCTATAGAAGGTTATAATTAAGAAGAAAGGTTGTGGAATAAGAGTGAGATAAAGAAAATACAGGAATAATAGGAGTATATGAGATGTGGCTTAAGATAGTAAAGAATGCCTTAAACTGTGAAGAAACATAAAAAACAGTCCTATAAACTAACAAAGCAATATACAAATAAAAGTCAACATATTATATGACATCTATGCAAGAGTAGAAATAAAATCATTTAAAATAAGAGATGGAAGAGTACATATAGAATGAAATGCAGCTGTACTCAGTTGAAAGGCAGTATTCTCAGAGCTCTCTGAGTTAGTGGGTTTCACATGGTGCTGGATTTAGGCTTCCAACCTGAGATCAGAGGTTCTGAGTCTGTGAAGAGACCTTTCCTTGGGGCTTACCCAAAGGTGTAGCCAAACTTCAAGCAGAAAGGACAGCTTTGAAAGGAGATGGCTTTAGAAAATCTCTTGCTACTGATTTTTGGGTTAATTTGGTATCCTGACATTTTACTGCAAATATTTATCAGTTCTCAGAATTTTCTGATGGAGTCTGCCACGTCTCATATGTACGGAACCACATAATCTACAATAAAAATATTTTTACTTCATCCTTTCTTATGTGTATGCTTTTATTTTACATATTTACCTTAAGAATTTGAGAACTATATTGAAGAGGATGGAAAAAGTGAACATCGTTGTCTCATTTCTGATTTGTAGAAATCTGTGAATTTTTGTTTTTCTCATTTAGTAAGGCATCAGCATTGGTTTGCCATATATAACCTTTATTATCTAGAGATAAATTTCTTCTATACTGGTTTCTTGAAGATTTTATTATGAACAGATGCTGGATTTTTTGTCAAAAGCTTTTTCCGCATCTATTGTAATAAACGTGATTTATATACATGAGTCTATTTATGTATTGTATTACATACATTGACTTGTGAAATGCTGAGGCATCTATGCCTGTCTGGAGTGAAGCTGACTTGATTGTAGCAAATTATATTTTTGAAATGTTCTTGAATTCTCTTTGTCAATAATTTACTGAGAAAATTTGCAGTGTGTGTGTGTGTGTGTGTGTGTGTGTGTGTGTGTGTGTGTGTGTGTGTGTGTGTATCTAACTGGCTTTGGTATCAAGGTTTCTTAAAGTATTTCTGGCTTCACAAAAGAAGCTTGGCAGAATTCCTTTTTTATGTCATGAAATAGTTTGATAAATACTGATATTTACTGGTATTTGTACTTCTTTTAAAGGTCTAGTTGATTTCAGCAGTGAATCCATCTGGACATTTATTCTTTTTAGTCAGATTTTTTTTTTAGTACCACTACTGTGTCATTGCTTGTAAATGATCTGTTTACATTATTGAAATCATCTTGGTTTAACTTTGATAGGTTATATAAGCCTAGAAATTAAACCATTTCTTTTTCTTGTTGTTAGAATTTTATTTATTTATTTCACACCCCAATCGTAGTTTTCCCTCCCTCCTCTCATCTCAGTCCCTTCCCCCACCTTCCTCTGCCCCGCCCCACTCCATCCACTCCTCCTGTTTCTATTCAGAAAAGGGCAGACCTCTCATAGATATCAACAAAACATGACATATCATGTTGTAGTAAGACTAAGTGTTTTGCCTTGTATTACGGCTGGGCAAGGCAACCCAGTATGAGGAGTAGGGTCCCAAAAGCCAGTTAAGGAGTCTGAGATAGTCCTTACTACCACTGTTAGGAGTCCTACAAGAAGATCAAGCTACACACTTTCACATGTATTCAGAGGGCCTAGGTCAGTCCCATGCAGGCTCCCTTGTTGTAGGTTCATTCTGTGAGTTCCTAGAGACCCAGGTTAGTTGATTCTGTGGGTTTTCTTGTGGTGTCCTTGACACCTCGGGCTCCGACAGTCCGTCCTCCCTCTCATCAGCAGGATTCCCTGAACTCGACCTAATGTTTGACTGTGGGTCTGCATCTGTTTCCACCAGTTGCTGGATGAAGCCTCTCTGATGACTATTGGGCTAGGTACCAATCTATGAATGTAGTAGAATATTTTATGGCATCATAACATTGACATTTTTCCCTCTAGTCATGTTTGGTTCTATCCTAGGTCTCTGGGCCAACTAGCCTTTGGTTCCTGGTGCTCCAGGCAATCCCAGGGGTGGTCTCTTTCTTGTGGAATAGGTCTCAGGCTGGACCAGTCATGAAACCATTCCTTTAAGATTTCCAACTTTGTAGGATACGCTTTTTAAATTTTTTTATATTCATTTTACATACCAACCACAGATCCCCCTCTCATTCCTCCTCTCGCTCCCCCCTTATCCCCACGCCAACCCTCATCCCTTCCTCCAAAAGAGTAAGTTCTCCCATGGGAGGACAGCTAAGCCTGGTACATTCGGTTGAGGCAGGACCAAGCCCCTCCTGCTGCATCAAGGGGAGCAAGGTGTCCGACCATATGTAATGGGATCCAAAAACCCAGCTCATGCACCAGGGATAGATCCTGATCACACTTCCGGGGCCCCTCAAACAGACCCACCTGCACAACTGTCTCCTGTATGCAGAGATCTAGTTTGGCTCCAAGCAGGTTCCACAGCTGTCAGTCTAAAGTTCATGAGTTCCTTTGAGCTTGGTTCAGATGTCTCTGTAGATTTCCCCATCATGATCTTGACTCCCCTTGCTCATGTAATCCCTCTTCTATCTCTTCGACTGGACTCCTGGAGCTTCGCCTGGTGCTTGGCTGTGGCTTTCTGTATCTACTTCCATCGGTTACTGGATGAAGGCTCTATGATGACAGTTAGGGATATGTTTTTAAGATTTATCCTAATAATTTTTTGAAATTCATGGCTATCTGTTGTAATATCTTCTATTTCATCTTCAATTTTGTTAAATGGGTCTTATTTCTTTTTCTTTTGTTTGCTTTGCCTAAATGTTTGTCAATCTTGTAAATCTTTTGAAAGAACCAGTTCTGTTTTTATTGATTCTATGGTTTGTTGATTTTTATTTCATTAATTTCTATCCTGATCTTGAATATTTATTTGCTGCTACTGAATTTGGTTGGTCTTGTTCTTGTTGCATGATTAGGTTATTATTTAAGATCTTTCTGACTTTTGTTGTAGGCATTTATAATTATAAACTTCCCACTTACTGCTATTATTACTGTATCCCATGGGTTTTGGAGTGTTGTGCTTTCGTTTTGATTCAATCTAAGAATTTTAAAATTTCCCTCTTAATATCTTCAATAGCCCATTCATCATTCAATGTGTTTTTCAGTTTCTGCATGCTGTGCAATTTTTCCTGCTGCTGATGCTAGCTTTATTCTACTGTTGTCAATAGTCTACATGAAAGTATTCTAAATTTCCTATATTTGCTCAGACTTGCTTCATGCCTTATTCTATTGCCCCTTTTAAGAGAAAGTTCTATGAACTTCTGAAAAGAATGGATACTCTTTATTGCTTACATGGAATATTCTGTCGATACGTTAGTTCCACTTGGTCTATGGTGTCATTTAACTCAGAAATTTTTGTTTAATCTTGTTGAATGTCTGTTGGTGAAAGTGGGGTAACGAAACCACCCACTATCCTTATATTTGGGTTCGTACATGCTTTTACATCCAGTAGTGTTTGTTTTATGAACATAGGTGCACCAATGTTTGGTGCATATATTTTTAGAACTATAATTTCCTCTTGATGAATGGTTCCATGGATCATTATGAAGTGATCCTCTTCATCTCTTCTGACTACTTTTGATTCAATGTACATTTTGTTGGACATTAGTCACTACTTCTTGCTTTTTAAAAGTCTCACTGCTTGGAATACACTTGTTTATTCTTTTATGGTTGCCTTTTTTATTGAGGGTAAGGTAGAATGGACCTTATGTTTAATCCAACCTACTAGTCTGTGTCTTTTAAAGGAAGAATTTACTTCATAGTGTTCAAAATTATAATTAGAAGATGTGTGTTAATTCTGTCTAGTCAGGAGTCACCAGCCAGACACAGAGGAAGCAAGATGACAAAGCAGAACTGAGAAAAGGTACCAAGCCACATGGCTAAACATAAATAAGAATTATGGGTTAATTTAACTGTAAGAGCTAGTCAGTAATAAGCCTGAGCTAATGGCCAAGCAGTTATACTTAATATAAGCTTCTGAGGGATTATTTTATAAGTGGGCCATGGAACTGTGGGGGTCTGGCGGGACCAGAGAAACATTCTGACTACAATAATCTTCATTGAATGTTTGATAGATTTCTGCTGTCAATCATCTTGTCCTGGAAACTTTTAACTGGAAGACTTTTTAGCTGAAAATCTTTTTTATAACTATTTCAATCATATGATTTGTATTTATCATTGGTCTGTTTAGTAGCTGACCTCTTGTTTTAATTTTGGTGATTTAGATGAATCTAGAAAACCATCTTTTTTCTTTTTTTTTTTTAAGTTTCCCCAGCATAATGGAGTACAGGTTTTTAAAATATTCCCTTTTAGGGACTCTCAGAGACTGAACCAACAGCCAGGGATCCTACATGAGACTGACCTAGGCCCTCTGTATATATGATACAGTTGTGTAACTTGGTCTTCATGTGAGTCTCCTAACAGCGGGGGCAGGGGCTGTCTGTCCCTGACTCTGTTACCAGTTTTTGGGACCCACTCCTCCTGTTATATTGCCTCAGCATTAATAGAAAAAGAGGTGCCTCGTCTCACTGCAACTTGATATAGCATGGCTGGCTGATATTCACGGGAGGCCAGCCTGTATCTGAAGAGAAACAGTGGGGGAGGAATGGATGGTGTGTGTGTGGTGGGGGAAGGAACTTGGAAGTAAGGAGGGAGGAGAAATTTTGATTGGGATGTAAAAACAATAAATAAATAAATAAATAAATAAATAAATAATAAATAAATAAGCAAACCCCTTATATATTCTGAATTACTTTGGTGTCTATTGTAATATTTCCCTGTCCATTTCTGATTCTTTTAATTTGGGTACTCTCTTTCTTTCTTTTGGTTAGGCCAAGAGTCTGTCAATTTTGTTTGTCTTCTCAAATGACAAGCTCTTAGATTTTTTGATTCCTTGTACTGTTTTATTTGCTTCTATTTTGTAGATTTCTGCTCTGACTATTATTATTTCATGCCATCAACTGGGTTTGGATTTAGAGTTGGTTTATTTTTGTTTTCCCAACTTTTTGAATTGCATCATTAAGCCATTTATTTGTGGGATTTCTGGTTTTTAATGTAGGTACCTACAGTAATATATTTTCTTCATAGGACTGCTTTCAATGTGCCTCAAAAGTTCTATTGTGTTATATTTTCATTTTCATTTCATTCCAGGAAGTTTTAAAATTTTCTTGATTTCCTCTTTGACCAACTCATCATTCAGTAATGGATTCTTTAGTCTCTATGAGTCTGCTTATTTCCTGGAAGATTTTTTTTTTCAGTCAATTTTAAGTTTTATTGCATTGTGATTAAATAAGACATAAGGAGTGATTTCAATTTTTTTAATTTGTAAATATTTGCTTTGTGTACCAGGATATGTTCTATTTCATAAGTGCTTCCATGTGCTGCTGCTGAATAGAATTTATAATCTTTTGTGTTTGAGTAGGATATTCTGTAGGTACCTGTTAAGTCCATTTGATGTATGATGTCAATTAATTCTGATGTATCTCTGTTGATTTTTTGTCCTGAGTAAAATGGAGTATTCATAGTATTGACATTAATCTTTCTTTAACTCTACTTTTTAAAGTAGTAGATTTTTTTTTATGAAACCCCAGAGTTCGGTGCATATATGTTAGGATACTCATATCTTCTTGCTTAATTGTTTCCTTGATTGAAATGAAGTGCCTCTCTTTATCTCCTCTGGTTAGTTTTAGTTTGAAGTCTATTTGTGAGAAATTAGGATAGTGACACCTGCTTGCTCCCTGTTCCTGTTTGATTAGAGTACTTTTGTCCAACCTTGCACTCTGAGGTGGTAGCCTATCTTTAAAACCATGGTGGGCTTCTTGTAGGAAACAGATGAATTCTGTTTCTTGATCCATTAAATCAATCTGTGTATTTTGGTTGTAGAATTGAGACCACTGATACTTAATTTTTTTTTGCTTTTTTTTTTGTAGTTGTTGTTTTTCAAGACAGGGTTTCTCTGTTTGTTCCTTGCTGTCCTGGTACTCACTTTGTAGACCAGGCTGGCCTTGAACTCAGAGATCTGCCTGCCTCTGCCTCCCCAGTGCTGAGATTAAAGGCATATGCCACCACAGCCTGGGTATATTTAAAGATTTTATTTAAATATACATGTTAATTGTGGTCATTGTGCTGTTGATTTTTTTGCTGTTATTTATTCTCAGTTATTTTTTGTTTTAATAATTATGGCTTCATATTTCTTTCCATAGTCCCTCTGATATGCTAATTCCCATCTTCAGCTAGACACAATGTGTCATATATTTTCCTTAGGCTTGGTTTGTTGGATATAACTTTTTAGGCTGTTTATACCATGGAAAGTTTGTCATCTTCAACATGGTGGCTAATTTTGCTGGGTACGTGAGTCTAGACTGATCTTTTAGAACTTGGACTGGATTGCTCCAGCCTCTTCTGGCTTTCAAAGTTTTCAAATGGAGAAATCAGCTGTTATTTTGATGGATTTACCTTTGTTTGTGATTTGTATTTTTGTTTCTTTCAGCTCTCAATACACTTTATTTGTTATGTATACTTAGTTTTTTAAGTATGGTATGCCATGGGGATTTTCTTTTCTGGTTTTTTTTTTTCCTATTTGGTGTTCTGTGCACTTCTTGTATTCTTAGTTTGAAGAAATTTTCTTCTAGGCCTTTGTTGAAGATCTGGTCTATTAACTTGGGATTCTTCTTCTTCATCAATAATTCAGAGATTTGGTTTCTACATTATGTTCCACATATCCTGTGTGTTCCTTTCCTGTTTTTTTTTAATGCTTCCTCCTTATTTGGTTTAGATCCTCTATTTTATCTTAGAGATCCAATCTTCTGTTTTCTGCTTGATTCATTCAACTTGTAAGGCTTTCCTTTGAGTTTTCTAGTTGAACTATTGGGCTGTTTTACTCCATCTTTGTTTCAGCTTGAGTTTTCAATTTTTCTATCTTCTGATTGAATTCTACTCTCAAATATTGGCTTGTCTTCTTCACTTTCATCAGCCTTATGTTTGTGTTTTCTTGGGCATCACCCAGGCATTTTTTCTCCTTCAACTTTTTCTTCTTGATTTCATTGAGCTGTTTCATTGTGTCTTCTTTAATCTCTTTGAATTCTATGATGAGGCTTATTATTGTTGTTTTAAATTCTGTGTCCTAGAGTTCATCTAGGTAATTTTCATTAGTAAGCATTTCTACTGGACTGGTAAAATTTAGACAGAAGATACTGGCTTGATCCTTTAGATTATTGGTGTTTGGGGTATGGGATCTGGCATGTGAATTTTCTTGGTTAGTTCTGAGTTTGTTATGGACAGAGAAGACTATGGAAGAAGAGAAGATACAGGGATGGATTGGGTATAGAGGGTGGAAATGTCTTAGGTGGAATGAAGTAAGATAGGCTGAGGGGACTTGGCTGGTATACATGCTGCCTGTTCCAAGTTTGCTGTGTGGGGATAGATCTGTCTTAGTGTAAGGGTTAGATACAACATGGAAGAGTCCTGGATTTGGAGGGTAGATGTGGAGGATCCTGCCCCAAGCCTATAGCTCCTTTGCAGTGAAGACAGGGAAGGGCAGACTAAGCTAATATACTGGTTGTGGGACTCAGGGTAAATCTGGTGATTTGAAAAAAAGAAATGGATGAGGAAGTCAGGGG